CAGCCACCACGCTCGACGCCGCCGTGCTCGAAGTCGCTAGGCACCAGCCGGTGGTGCGGGGGGCGTGGAGGAGGCGGCCGCCGGCCAGTGGTGCGGGGGGCGTGGAGGAGGCGGCCGCTGGCCGGAGGAGAGGAGAGGTCGCACGAGGAGCCGATGACGCCGAGGAGAGGGAGGAGGCGTCCCGCGTCCGTGCTCGCCTCGCCCGACGCGAGGGAAGGGAGGAGGCATCCGCGGCGTCAGCGTAGAGGTGAGGAGGAGCGAGTGCGGCAGCGACGTGGGGAGGGGGCTGCGTGGAGCGGCGGGGGAGGGGATGGGATAGGGTTCGGGGAGTGGGGGGCTGGCTGGCTGGCCAGGCCGCCAGCGGGCCTCCTGTTCTGTAGCAGGTCGTGCCGTGCCGGCCCACGTGCCTGGGGTAAGGCCCAGGCACGGCCTGGTCCTCCGGGCCGTGCCAGCCCGGGCCCACTAGCTGTCGGGCCGGGTCGTGCTTGGGCCAGGCAAAAAAAAGGGCCTTGGGCCGGGCCGACGGGCTCGGGCTGCATGGTCAACTATAGCCAGAGCTTCGATTGCCGATCCGACAGACCTCGGCTCGGACCTATGAACTCGCACGATCAACACCAAAGTGGATCACAGAACTCTGCCGACGGGGATTACAGTCGCGATCAAGGCAAATCGAATCAGAGGCGGACCAGAACGAATCGGAGAGTGAACAGAGGTGGAAGTGGATGGATTGAAACGAATCCGATACCAAATGTTACGGTGGAACTAGATACTACTACGATGAATCTATTTAGAACTGGGTAACTGGAGTTTACAAGCTCCGGTGGGCAAGATTGCCGCCGACCATCCTCGAGCCGCAGCTCGCCGCCACCGTCTCCGACAACAACCAAGACAATTCCAAATTGAGTTCCTCCCCTCTTCTATATTCTGTTACATATGCACTCGACAGCGATACACCAGCGTAGCTGGGCTTGGCTCATTTGGTGCTTCTGGGTTTGGCTAGCTCCAACATCCGTGACAGGCTGCTGGAGGGAGGATGGGCGACGCAGACTTAGACGCAGACGCGCGCCTTTCTGCCCGTGCCGCTGGTCTCGTCTGCGGTCTGTTTGGGAAGCCAGGCAGGCAGGCACTCAGGCAGGCGAGCGGCCGGGCAGAGGCGGAGGAGCTCTCGTACGAACGGACGGTGGACGGACGAACGGATCACTCAATTGATGCAGCTGCAATGAAAGCTGCCATAAACCACTGCTGCTTGCATTGCTGCTGCCGCCATGGCCCGGACCCCAGCCTGTGAGAGCTGCAGTGCACTGCTAGCTTGTAGCAGCTTCTGTGGATGTGGTCCATCCTCAGTACGTCCTCAGTGCTTCGTACTCATTCATTCATTCATACAGTATGCTACGTATACAGAGCACAGTACTGCGTGTTGTATCTTCTTCTCCCCGATCCGTGTCTCGTCTCATAAATTCATCCATCGAAAAACGACCTGTAGATGCTGTTTTTTTAGTCGTCCTCTTATCCTCCAGGCCTAGTTTAGAGTGCAAGTTTTTTCACTCTCTTCATCACATCAAATCTTTGGACACATGCATAGAGTATTAAATGTAGATAAAAAAATAACTAATTACATAGTTTGATTGTAAATTACGAGACGAATCTTTTGGCTAGTTAGCTAGATGGCTGACGATGATAATTGTCAAATCTGAATAAAAAAGTGTTCTGCGCGCGTAATATCGATTCCTAACCCCGCCACAGTGGAAACAGAAGCTTGCGAAGGAACGAGTTCTTTGTGGACGAACATTCCCCCGCGGGCGCGGCCGTTTGAGCGGACCGGAGACCGCACGGCGCATGCAGCTGTCCTTCGCGGACACATCGGTCGGGGCGTCTGGGCCCCGCGGATGGCGCTGCCGTTCCGGTTCCAGTTCCGGTTCCGGTTCCGGTTCCGTTGCCGTGCCCATCTTTGCGGGACAGGGACTGCGTCTCGGAGGCACAAGGATTTGCGTCTTCGTCGTTAACCTGTTTCTGCGGCCGGACAGTGCTGAAGCAAATCTGACAGTTCCGTTGACGGGCGCTGGTCGTGGTCGCCGGTCCGGCAGAGAGCCAGAAGCCCAGAACGAACGAACGAACTGCGCTGCCTGCCTCTGCCTGCCTGCGGCGCGCAGCACGGACGGCTCCTCGACAGTCCGGGCAGGCATGGCAGTACACGTGAGCAGAGCCAATGCCTGCCACTGCCAGCTTCCTTTGTCTTCACTCGTCCAGACTGCCAGCGCTAGATCCTTTGCCTGCCTGCCCTGCCCGTACTTTATGAGAGTAAGACGCCTTTATCTTCTCTACTACAGTAATCGCTCTGGATCGTTCTTATTTATCAGACATAATCTACGGTGTTTTTTTCTCGTAATAAAATAGCTTCAGCCGAGCCGGCTTATGTACCTGGATTCATTCGTTCATCCGGAGGAGGGGAGGGGAGGAGTGTTTCTTTGCGTGTGGACTGTGGACCCTCGTCTCGTCTCGGCGGTGGTGCGAGATGAGATGAGGTTGACGTCTTGCTGGCCTTGCCTCTAGCCTTGCCTTGTGCTTGCTCTGCCACCGATAAAGCTGATATTCTGTTCGTCTTTTAAGATTGTCTGATGCTCTGCTGCGTTAGCATACAGCCAGCACTGTAGCTTCCTTTTAGCAAATGCTGATTACTTCTCACCATTAGCCATTCAGCCAAACGAAGTGGAGCGTTGGGTGTAGCTCTAGCGGTTAAGTGTGGGGTGTCAGCATGAAATGGAGCATGGTTACATATATACTACAGTTGACAGTTCATCAGGACTTCGGGTCCAGCATTCTTTACCCCCCAAAAAAGCAGAACTTTTGTATAGTAACTATATCCTCATAATAATGCTGTCTTGATCTCCAGGAGTTTAGAGACCGGGACACTCGTGATGCCTAAATCCGACCGGGAACCGCGCGAGATTTGGGACCATTATTAACTCCCATCAATTTAAAATGGACACGGGAGCTAATTTCTTGGTCCCACAGTACCTGCCCAACTAATTGAGCTACAAGAATGCCTAACCCACTTGCATTGTTTACTACTAGTTTTTCGGGCGCAGCCATGCGCGCGGTCCACTGGCCACACGTATTTTTTTGAGGAAAAAAGATATAATCAAAGTTGAGCTGTATTTCGATTTGAGAAAAATATGAGGATGTTTTCGCAAAAAAACGGCGAGAGTGTCTGGGGAGCGCGAGTTGATTTTCGCTAAAGTGGAGGTCTTTTTGCAAATAAACCAGTGCCCATCCGGTTTGGACTGAGCGTTGATTTGGAAATAATACGAGGCATTTTTTTGTAAAAAATTCTGAGAGGGCGTCTGGAGCGCAGGTTGATTTCCGAAAACTTAAAGGGGTTTTTCGTAAAACGACCGCGGCTCGCCCGATCTGGACCGTCCGCGCGGCCGATCGAACGGCCGCGAAAAGCCGACGACGTGGCCACCCTGAGGCCGCGCCGTGGCCACACCAAATCATATCTTTAGATATGGCGCGTGGGAGCGGGGTCGCCCTAGCAACGGGACAAAGGGGAAGAATGGACGCCGGTAGAATGCGAACGATGGCGTTGCTTTCGGTCTCCCTGTACCCAAGCTAGCACGCATGAGCCTCATGTTCGAATTTCACCATCCTGCTCGAGACACCGAGCACGTACAAACATCCCAAACTTGGTCCGGTGCGTATGGACCTCATTCGACGGCAGGATATTCATTCGCAATTCAGAATATTTTGAGCTGCTTTTCCATTAAAAAAGATGCATGTCCTCCTCCTGCTTGAGCTTGACGGCGCAGCAGGGATGGAGGCACATACTCGCGTACAATAATACAAGAAGACCAACAACGTCCGTACAGCTGCGAATAGCGACTTCGACACATTTTGTATTTGTGTACACCCCTGCAAATACTGGATGACCATAGAAAAGAAATAAAGCTTGTTTCATGACAAAAGGAAAAATATCCTCATATTTCAAAAAAAAAAACTCATACACGTCAATTCATTTTGCTCCATGCCAATTCCCAAATGCATACAGTACAATTATATAATACCATATTATCATGCATGCATGATGCATCTCTCCGTCTTGCAATTTGTTTTCTTGTGGGTTCGTCAGCGGAAATAATCCAGTGAGAATCTTAATGATTGAAGGATAAAGCGCCCATGGACACACAGTACATGACTCTAGGGCCCCCATTTTATATATTATTATTGCCATTCAACACGGAATTCTTGAGAGACCAATTAAGCATTAGCATCTGCCTCTCTCCCACCTTTGTCCTCACTATATACATGCTTCCTTTTTTTTCTCCTATAAAGAACATGATCACATGTACATATCTACTTTTCCAATAATCACATGCCCACAGGCCACATCCAACAAAAAGGCCAAATAAACCAACAGCAATGACGAGGACTAATCAAAACTCTTCACATTCCTCTAGAGAAAAGGAGTCAGGAACAACAATCCACGCACATCTGAAAATGAAAAACCAAACAAAACTCCAAAACCAAAACTTCAAGAAATCAAGTTCATTTTTCATATAAATGGATGCAAATCCCCATGCTCCACTCATTTCACAAGTTAATCATGATCATTTTGACGAGAAAAGCTAATCACAGTCATCAACACTAAACCAACAAAAAAAGGGTACCACTACTCACTCACAATCATAAGCATCAAAGCCAAAGAAAAAACAAAAAGGGAAAAAGAAGAGAAAAAGGCACCAAAAACGGCCACCAAGGCAGGCAGCTCCACTAATCGCTCTCACTCACTCCCAGACCGCGTCGCCACCTTGCTGCCTTTACTCCTCTCCCACCACCCCCGTTTCAATTCGCTTCACTCCCCGCAGTCCCCACTCGCCACTCCTCCCCTCCCCTCTTCCGGGGCTTCCCCTTTCCGTCCGCCATGGCCTCCTGCTAGCTCCCGTCGCAACGCCTTCCAGATCCCGGACGCAGCGCGCCACCGCCCGCGACGGCCGGCGCGCGACATGGGAGGGTGCCACGCGAAGCCGCTCACCCACGACGCGGACGGCTCGCCGCCGCACGCGGCGCCGGCGATCCCGCCCCCGGGCAACGCCATGCCCGCCACCCCCGGGAAGAAGCACTGGGCGGTGTCCCCGTTCTTCCCGTTCTCCACGCCGAGCCCGAGCCCCGCGCACCACCTCTTCGGCGGCTCCGCGGCGTCGCCGCGCAAGTCCCCCGCTCCCGCGGGCTCCGCGCCCACCACCCCGGCCAGGCGGCTCCTGAGGCTGCCCTTCCCGCCACCGTCGCCCGCCAAGCACATCCGGGCGGCGCTCGCGAGGCGGCACGGCCCGTCGCGGCCGTCCATCCCCGAAGAGGGCGGCGGCGAGGGGGAGGGCGGAGGTGGAGGCAGGGGCCTCGACAAGGGGTTTAGGTTCAACAAGGGGTTCGCGGCCAAGTATGACTTGGGGGATGAGGTCGGACGGGGACACTTTGGCTACACCTGCGCCGCCACGGTTAAGAAGGGCGCGCGCAAAGGGGACTCCGTCGCCGTCAAGGTCATCCCCAAAGCAAAGGTGATGTGCAGTTTCCGCAATGCCCTACTCTGGCACCTTGTTTTGATGTGTAGTATGCTGAATTTGAAGACACCACATACACATGCTGTCTTTCTGGATTTTTTTTTGACCATGTGGAAAGTTTTAGGTGTTGTCGATTTGCTGATTGCTGTCTTGAGAATACTGATTTCGAACAAAATATTCATAGGATTCTGTGGTGACATTATATGGTTCTGTTCTGCATTCTGGATTGCAAACACCCGACTTCAAGCTCGTGACTCCGTGAGGATGGTTGCTTGTTGTTCTGTGCATTCTGCCTTTTTGGGTACTGGGTAGCATATTAGCATATAGTAAGACTTTCTGCTGCAAATGTGCCTACTCTAAGTCTCTAATGATAAGATACAAATAGATCGGACATTATTTGTTACTTGGGAAACTTACATCTGATGCTTTGCAACTACCGATCCAGAAGACTTCAGTCACTTGGCATTATTGTTCTATCATATCTTTTGTGCAATCTGATTTAAGCTCCATTCTGGTACCAGAAAATACACAGTTGGTCTTCGTCTGAACTTACTTGATCATCTTTTTAACAACACCTACTGCTTGCTGTTTTGCTTTCTCAGATGACTACATCCATTGCTATAGAGGATGTCCGAAGGGAGGTTAAAATCTTGAAAGCTTTGGCAGGAAACAAAAACCTAGTCCAATTTTATGATGCCTACGAGGACAACGACAACGTATATATAGTAATGGAGTAAGTTTCCATGACCTGAGAAATTATAGTTTCATTTTTACTTGATGTTTCATATTCTATGAGGCTGCCCTCCATAGCATATGTAGTGTGTTATTATACCTCATCATTGGCACTGACAACTACTAACACGAACAGAAAATCTAAAATCATGAAAAGTCACAACTTCATATTTGCAATTGAGTTCATTTTTTTGTTTATCTATTGTTGATGTGGCAAGAGCAACCTTTTAGAAGCATGCGAAATACCATACCTCGGATGTTAAAAAATGACTTTCTCTCGATTTGTTGAAATAATTGATTGCCTTTCCCTTTCTAGCATCCCTTCTTTTTCTAAGTAACACACTAACGTTCATAATGCGGGATCAAGATTAGCATTTGTAATGTGTAACAAGTAACAATTCTATATAATCTTGGTACCAATTGCACTTGTTACTTCCATGGTGAAAATGACTTGTAATGTTCTTTGTGGGAGGCAGTCAAGATATGCTTCTCTTTTCCCACCAAACCTTAGTTAGTTGTAATATTCTATAAAGGGTGAAAGCTTCCATATTGTTTACGTGCTGCCAAAGTTTATTACCATGGTCTACTGGGGCTTGAAAGATTCCTCTGTTAACTATTTGCTTCTCATTTATATTCACCTTTTATACCCTGCCAATGATGGTTCTCGGATAGTTCTTTTTCTGTATTTAGCTTGCAATCCTTGCTTTGTTCTTTAAAGATTCATGTTTATTAATTTAAAATCCAATTGTGTAGGTTGTGTGAAGGTGGAGAGCTACTTGACAGAATACTTTCCAGGTAAGTTAAAGTGAACATAAAATTTTGAAATAGCACATCAAAATATGTGCTTCAGTAGAACTGATGTTTTGCATTGGACTTAAGAGGAGGGAAGTACTCTGAGGATGATGCAAAAGCTGTCCTGGTGCAAATATTAAATGTCGTCGCTTTTTGCCACATCCAAGGAGTGGTTCATCGAGATCTCAAACCAGAGGTGATGTGTTTTTTTCTGCATCTCTACAATCAGTGCAAATTTCATGATTCAAGGAGGTTTAGAAAATGCTAACTTTCTACTTTCCGTTGTTTAGAACTTTACAATTTACATCTCAAACTAAGCATGTCTTACTTCATAATCTAATATTATTAGTGTTTTTCATTGTTTACTTTATCATGACTTCTAAAAATTATAATACCTTTTTTCAGAATTTTCTTTTCACATCAAAAGATGAGAATTCCCATCTTAAGGCCATTGACTTTGGCTTATCAGACTTTGTAAAACCAGGTATACTTCTTACTGGGCAATCTGTATTTTTTTATATAAAAATGTTGGTCTCTAATTGTCAGGGCCAAAAAGGATTGTAGTATTCACAGGCAAAAAGATCTTGAATATGTGGTTCTAATATTTTATGCAGATGAGAGGCTGAATGACATTGTTGGAAGTGCTTATTATGTTGCTCCAGAAGTTCTGCATAGATGCTATAGCACAGAAGCTGATGTCTGGAGTATAGGTGTAATTGCATATATCCTTCTTTGTGGCAGTCGTCCATTTTGGGCACGCACTGAATCTGGCATATTCCGTTCGGTTCTCAAAGCTGACCCCAGCTACAATGAGGCACCATGGCCTTCTCTGACTCCAGAAGCAATGGATTTTGTTAAGCGATTGCTGTGCAAGGATCCACGTCGAAGGATGACTGCAGCTCAGGCTTTAAGTATGTTTCCGTTCATTTTATCCTGGTGGCTTCTATTGAATATTGCATTGTTGTGAGTATTCGTGTTTTTTTCTAGGTCATCCGTGGATCAGAAATTATAATGACATTAAGCTGCCATTGGACATCCTTATATTCCGACTTATCAAAGCTTATATTCGTTCCTCATCTTTACGGAAAGCCGCTCTGAGGGTGAGTACTTCAAATTTCATGGTTATAATGATGCCTCTTCAGTTTGGCAATTGGCACTTACCTTATCTTACCCCAAGTTTGTTCTACTGAAAGGCTTTTAAGGGTTGTGCTTTATTCTATTTTTTGTTTAGAATTGGTTGATGAATTTCCTGTTAAATATTGTTGAGTAATGCATGGTAGTACATTTCTTTTATGGTAAACTTTGTCAGGAATTTTTTATTGCATACATGTGTGGTTTAGCTAGGTTGGGGCAACATTTTAGGGTATATTGGCCTTGATTTATTAGTTCCACGAAAAAAAAAAAAGATGCTTCCACGATTCTGTCGCCAATACTTTCGTTTAAAAATCAATGTTGTGCTAACAAGCCTTACTAAGAATGGTCTTTCTATTTTTGTCCTAAGTCAAGCTACCTTAGTTTTGGCCAAGTTTATACAAGAAAATACCAATTAATCAATATTTATATTACCATATAAGCTCCATTAGATTCATCATGAAATATATTTTCATAGTATACCTTTTGGTGTCATAAGTGTTCATAATCTTCTCTATAAACTGGGTGAAACTTGAAAAAGTTTTGACTTAGAACAAAGCTAGTGTGACATTCTTTTTTGGGGCAGAGGTAGTATATCATTACTGTTCTTTCTTTAATGCCAGCGATCTGCAGTGCTTGATGTATTATTGAACTCCTACAGGCTCTATCAAAGACCTTAACAGTTGACGAGCTTTTCTATCTGAAAGCACAGTTTTCTTTATTGGAACCAGACAGAAATGGATGCATCACTCTTGACAATATCAGAATGGTTAGCTCATAGCTACACCTGATTCCAGGCTGGTTAATTCTGTCCTCATTTTCTTGTGTAAACCTAATGACTCCTGTTGCTTCACACTGTTTAGGCCCTAACGAGAGAAGCTACTGATGCAATGAAGGAATCCCGAGTTCAAGAGATTCTTGTTTCGGTACCTTTGTTTTTGATCTTATGACACCGTTTTGTTCATACAAAAACTGTACCACTGTCTGACTCTATAACTGGATATTCTTTTCAGTTGAGCGCCCTTCAGTACAGAAGAATGGACTTCCAAGAGTTCTGTGCAGCAGCAGTTAGTGTGCATCAGCTTGAAGCATTGGATAGATGGGAGCAACATGCGCGATCTGCTTATGAACATTTTGAGAAGGAAGGCAACCGAGCTATTGTAATAGATGAATTAGCTTCTGTACGTGATCTTCCTCCCTGTTCTCTTTCTAGCAGATCAGTTTGGTGGACCTTCCAATATTTCCTGACATATTAGTTATTACATGCTATGGAGTATTTCATTATCAATAAAGTTTACTTGTTCTCTCAGGAATTGGGCCTCAGCCCTTCAGTGCCACTGCATGTCGTTCTACAAGATTGGATCAGGCATACGGATGGGAAATTGAGCTTTCTCGGATTTGTCAAGTTGTTGCATGGCATGTCCAGCAGGTCCCTGTCAAAGATGAGATAGCTGTTGATAATCTCTAACGACGGCACATGTTTACACCACCCTTGCCCCCGTCGACTTGGTTCACAGGCAAATTAACAGGGCTACAGAACCGTCGATTGGAGCTTGCATATCAAGGGCGTATGAGTTCTAGCAGCACCTGATCTGTCACTAATTTGAGTATAGAGTTATGTTTGTTGTTGCCTGCCTACTGATCATTTAGCCGATAGGAAAAAGGAAAATCTCACCCATGTTTGCAACATGTGATGTTTCTAACAGTCTTAGATTAGGCGTCATCTTCTGTTGTGATTTTGGGAACTTTGTAATGCTTCTTTCCTGGAACTGGAGCAAGTTAGCTGCAGTCACCAGGTTGGCGTTTGGAACATGGACATATCACTTACTGTCATTGTCACTATGTCATTGTACCGACAGATGGAAGTGCGTGATCGTTATGTGGTACGTTAGGTTCTCTTCGTGTGTATATATTGATGAGATGGAACTGTGCCATTTTTTTGAATCTCTGATGAAAATTAGCATGTCAATTTGCAACCTCTAATTGATTCTACTTTCTACATCTTAGAATAAACTTGAATATGTGCAATAAAATAAGTAATACTTTTTACTGGATACATGACGTTTAGAATGGTATGGAATATGGCAACAAGATTGTATTAATTTGACAAGACATAAGAGGAAATGATTTTATTTCTTTTTTTAGAATGTCAGAATATATATATATATATATATATATATATATATATATATATATATATATATATATATAATATTTCATAACATTCTTGTTTTACCATGTTTCACCCTTAGCGCCAGAAATCAGTGCCCTCACATACTATGTTGTTAAGCCATGCCAATGTCATGGCTTATTTGTAATTATAAGAAATGAAATTTTACTCCATTTGTTTAATTTATAGTCCATCTTTAGCTTTGACTTAAATCAAATTTCTCCAAATCTGACCAATTTATTGAAAAATGCACTGACACCTACAACATCAAATTAGTTTAATTAAACTCTCCAAAGAATATAAAGTGCATTTATTTGAATTTATTGGTGTTGATATATTTTTGTTTTTTTTTCAAAAAACTTCATCAAAATTAGAGGAGCTTGACTTATATTGATAAATCTCGAGTAGATTATATTTGCAATAGAGTAGTCATCAAATAGATTTCTTATTGATTTTGCTTTCTTTTCTTTTTGAAAGCATTGGTGATACGAGCTACGTATTATTCCTCTCATCTGACTATCTGAGCCGTCCATTATGTGTCGAACACGCCCATTCAAATGTCCTTGAGCTTTAAAATCTGGATTTCGAAATTCGAAAGCAGAGTGAAATCCCCCACGGCTAACGTTTTGAACTTCGAAGGGAAACCTGCTCTGCTCGAGACAGAGAGGCAAAACGTTTTCACTACGCCGCAATCTGCCCCATTCCATTCCAAAGCGAAACAGAGGGGAAGGCGGGGGCGGAGGCAATCGGAGGGCGAGGAGGAGGCGAAGGCTTCTCCACTTGAGCGGCGGGATGCCGGTAACGCGTAGGCGCGCCGCCGCGGGGGCGGTGGTGCAGGTGGAGGAGGAGGAGGAGGGGCGCAATGCGGCGATCGACATATCCTCTGATTCCGATGCGGGGTCAGAGTCAAGGTCAGAGGATGAGGAAGATTCAGAATCGGAGGAAGAGGAGGATACGGGCGACGAGGACTTTGTCGACGTCAGCGACAGCGACAGCGAGGCCGGTGATGGGGAGGGCAGCGGCGAGGAAAACGAGGAATCGGAGTCGGAGGCTGAGGCTGAGCAATTGGGCGCGGATCGGAGCGAGGTCGCCTGCAACAAAATCACTAGTCTCCTCAGCAGTAATCTCCTCTATCTCGTTTTAATGGGTTGCTGACTTGCTGTTAAGACTGTTCATCAGATATTCAGAAATAAGTTACAACATGTAGGCGTTTAGGTGACAGTATCAAATGGTGGAAGCGTGGAAGTTGGAACGGGATTAGGTGCACGTAGAGAGCTGAGCAGAGCTGTTTTGGGGGCATTAAACATTTTGCATCACTCGTGTGGTTCTATGATTTAATGCAGCTGCAGCGTGCCAATCTGATCGTCTGATGATAGGATAAATTTACAGATACTTCATCTGACTACTTTTTGAAGCTTATTTATGTATCTATTCTAGTGATGTGCAACAGAAACAGTTTAGACATCTTAAGGAAGTATGACCCCCAAAATTGTTACACTGTGTGCGACAGAAACTAGAAGGAACATGCTAATTGATTGTTTGGCTTCGGGGATTATGTGCTTATCTCTAGCTGCTTGGTAGGCCATAGATTGTTGCTACTACTGTAAGCTCATGTCAGTCCCTTTTTGTTTCTGCTTCCGCTCCTACAGCTGTTCTATTGAACCATAATTTATTTCTTCTTATTGATTGACAGCTCAAAATACATCCAATGTAAATTGGTTTTCAAACGGAGCTAGATGCAATCCTTGTCATGTTTGAGACTAAGTTGAGCTTGTCTCGTAATAATACTGCTAATTTTGATTTACTTCAGTGGGTTTCAGGAGTGAACTGAATTGGATCATTTGTTCTATGCTGTTCTTTTCCTACATGAACTGAAAGCCAGGATTTTCCTGTAGGTGGGAAGAGTCTGGAGGGTTTAAAGTTGGTAGAGTGCAAGGCGTATTTAAAGAAGAATGGTCTTAGCCAAACTGGGGGCATAGACACTTGTGTAGACAGAATATTGCTTCACTGGAGGTTAGATATCATATATCTTTCCCACTTCTGAGTATATTCAGCCATTTGACGCTCATTTAGTTAGAATCCAATTTAAGAGAACACTCCAGTGCAGTATATTCAGGTGGGGAATTCTTTTCCCCTCCGGTGATCCATGTTTTTTTTAAGAGAGCACTAGTTCCTGTGTCATTTGTTTGTTCATAATATCTTCTTTTTATATTTACCTGGCATTATTATGCACGGAGGGTTCACCCAGGTGATCTTAATCTTGCTTCATTTGATGTGCCTAGATGTAGCATTGTGACATTTTTCAGAACTTGGCACACATTGACACATGTAATATTTATTACCCCTTTCTTGATAGGTTTAAAGATGGGGATCCAGAGAGAATTTATCCACGGTCATCCTTCTGTGTCAACTGTAAAGGTGTGGTCCTACGTGGAAATAAACTTTCATTTAACTGCATAGCAAATTATCCACGGCAATAATCATACTCTCTCAGTGCAGGTGATGTTTGTAGGGGCGATGCCGTCCTATTCAAACAGAAGGTGTATGAGAAGAGGTAGGCATCTGCATTTGCATTGTCTAATCTAAGCCTCTTTGAAATGGTAACCCTATCTTCTATTCGGAAACTTTGACAGTGGAAAAAGGCATGCAAAATGTATAGGTAAGCGTATAGTAGCCGGCAAAGTCATCAAGGAAAGTTATGGTAAACAAAAGCAGCAACACACTTTCACGGTAAGCTTTGTTTCAACAGTTTTGTACTACTGTTTCATTAGAGTCTTGTGATCATTTACATACTACATTACTTGTCCAATTCAATAGATTCAAGTGTTTTGGAGCAAAGGACCTGGGAAATTACCACCTTTGCATCTGTTGCTTGTCAAAGGGCGCAACCTATACAGAATGATGACTTTTCGTCAGGTAACAAGAGCTCTCCACTTGAATTGTTACTCTGTTTTCGACCTGTCACTTGAGGTTGTTTCTGCTGCTCATTATATCATAAGAAACAATCAGATCGTCTTTAGGAGTTAAAATTTGTGTGACGATACAATTCTCAAATGTAATAGGGTAATGGAACTGTCCAGCATCAGTACTGGCCATACATTGGAGGCTCATATTTACAATTCTTTTTCCATCAGTCTGTGTGCTCTGTATACAGTAATGAAACTTCAGGAAACCCTATGTTTCTAAAATAAAAGAAGCATTTTTCATGAATATGAATGCATCCTGTCAGATATCCAAGATGACTATCTCCACATTTCTCAAACTGTATTTTTTTTATCAATATTCTCTCCCCCTATTCGAGTTTTTTAATCATATATCAATAGAAATGGGATGTGGGGAATATATTTCTCAGTTTTATGCAATTCTCATCTTGGAAGGTATCTACACATTTCTCAGATGATGGTTTTATACCAACATTGTCCATGGGATGGCCTTGTGTGATTTTGAACTTCACATCATTTGTTTGTCTTATATCTAGCCTTGGGCAAATGAAGTAGAAAGGCTGAAGGTTCTAGAAGAGAAGCACAACAGAGGGGACGATGCAAGGCGTGTTCGTGCTTTGAACAGACCTAATTCTGCTGGAAACAGTAATTTCCATTCTCAAGATGGTTTGCACATATCTCTGCATTAATTTAATTCTGAACTTGGTCTTCTTGTCCGCACTTGCTTGAAATCTCATAAACACTGTTACTTGATCTTGATGTGTGATGGTATTGCATGTCTAGGTTCATATTTAATCACATTCATCAAACGCGACAAGTTATAGTTTCTTGTTTGTTGTTAATATCTTGCTGCTAGTTTATAATGAGTTTTGGCATTTCACACAAAATTACAGTTAGATGTTACATGTGAACATTTCTTAGTTATAGGAGTATTTAGTAATTATTAGTAGGCAGTAAAATTTAATGTTTGGGTTGATGTATTAATTGGCACTGGAAGCTCTAGAAGTTCAATGCAGAATTGCAGAGCCAGCTGTATCTCATATGGAATCAACTAAAATTCTGAATCACAGGGCTGGAGAACAGCAGGGGCAGTAAAATGAATAACATGTTTAATTCTTGGCTCCCTGAATTCAAGAAGAGAAGATGTATTCATATATTTCCTTTTAAGGAACATTACATCTTTCTAGGTTCATGGAACAATTGATGCATGGTATTGTCTCGATGAAGCATCTTCTGTTCTTGTGGATCTATGCTCTACTTAGTAGAACATGTGAGCTCTAGGTCTCTATTGCATTTGTTTTGTTAAGCCATTGAGTCAAGCTGCAATGCTTAATGGTCATTTTACTTCAATCCCGTTTTCTTCAGTCATGTGTTTGTTCTACCTAACGATTTCTATTCCCTTTGTTTTTTGTCGTTCATATAGCTCTTAAAGGCAAGAAAAAATTGGACAAAGAAAAGCACAAGTCTCGATCTGGAAGGCCTCACTGCCAATCTAATATCACTGAATTGGATAAAGGCAAAAAACGTCCAGCACAATCCTCCAAGTTTGATCTGCCTAATAAAAGATCTAAGAAAGAAGGGTCCCAAGTGCCTTCTGGAAAAGAAACCACTGGTGGTAGGAAGGCAAAGAAAAATCATGCTCGCCAAGATAACAGCATTTGTACTGGTCATAACAGTTCTCTATGCAATGACAACAGGGAGAAGAATCATGCTACCTTTCAGAAAAACTGTCACGCTGTGCCTCTCAACAAGGGTCCATCTAGCTCAAAAGTTGGGATGAACAAAAGGGCGGCTGGTTCTGGGTGGAACAGAATTGGTGGCACACACAATCAATTAGAAGAAAGACACATAACTCCAGCTGCCCATATTGAGGCAAATCATGGAAATTTTGTTTTAGTACAGCATCCTTGTGTTGAGAGGCTTCAACGGCCTACTGAATTGCGTGAAGTTGCCCACGGTTTACTGACTCGACCCGGTGGCAGCCATCCAGATGTACTATCCAGCGCTACAATGGGTCTCCGACATCAAAGTGGAGCAATGGCTGGTGTGCATGCACCTGCATATTTCAGGGGACTTCCACCCAATCAACAGAGGGTAGCATTTCCTTTAGCCAACATGCCACAAACCGTGTACCATCCTCATCCAGAAGAAGCATATGTTGTGCCACACTTCAGATATCATCCTAGAGGGAGTACTGGTTTCCGTCGATAAGACAGTCTGGTTGATGCCAGCTTCATTTTGATAATTGCATTGGTGGTAACTGGTAAGACATGTGGTCTTGGTTTATTTTCATTAGTTCCATTTCGTTGTTATGAGTATGTAGCATTTTCCTCTTACCTTGTGTGCAGAGGCCAGATCAGTGTTTCATCTTGGAATAAAGCTTCCTTCGTATAAAAGGGGAAAAAAATCTGTGCCTCAATTAAAGGACTTGATTTTCTTCGCATTTGTGCAGGATGTGATGGAAATGCAGTGCTACCATTGACTTGATTGAGTGGCCACCGCGATTGCCACGTGAGGGCCTTCTTTATACATGCATAAGATGGTTAAGAAAACAATACCAGGGCTTTGTGTGCTTCAAACGGGAAGGTTAGGAAATATCACCATCTTTTTGTCGATTGAGTTCGTATCTGGAATTGTCCTGCAAGATTGAAGCGAAATATTCCCAGAAGGGACATAAGTTCCTGATGGTTTTTTTTTTCTGAAATTTGAGCTAATCTGAATGAAATCCAAACCGATGCAAAATTTGCTTACCACCCTATCTTCTCTGGGGAAATACAACAGTCAGTCAGGACAAACCTGACACTGGTAATTATTTCCAGTTCTGCAATTCCATCGTCGCCAGTATATATAACATAAAATGAACGTTTTTTTATTGATAAAACCTATATTGAGCGATTGTTTGACCAAAACACCTGACTAGGGCACATGACCTTTCTTTGTTCGACGCTCGTGTCCTGTGCTCCGATAGAAGTAATTTTGATGGAACGAATTAACCCTCCGAAAGTTTTGCGAGGAGATCCCCGTCCAAACACCCATGTCACGAGGGCACTCCCTGTTCGTTTATGCTGAATTTTGGCTTATGCTGATATTTATGCTGAAATGTTGTGAGAGAAAAATATTATTCCATGGCTGAAAGGTAGCTTAAGCGAGCGGGGTGCTATCTCCATGTGCCGTGCACGTGCACCTGCCAAAGAAAGCACAAATCAACAACCGGCCTGTTCGCTGGGTCGTAAACGATCGTAAATTTCTAGCCAGAACAGTATTTTTCTCTCACACTAAACCAGCCAGCAGTAATAATCCACAATCTTATACGATCGTTTCAGCCCCAGCTAAACATGCTGAACGAAATGGTCGGCGGCGTTGAGTTGGGCGCCGTAGCTACACCTACACTGCTACACATCCCTACCTGGAACGGCATCAGGTTTCCTGTCAGTTCTCCATTTGCTTCTGTCAGGGCAGTCCCAATGAAAGAAACTAGTAGTTTCTATAAAATAGAATACCGCACCAAAAAAGTACTGCTTTCCAATCTATGATTTCTATGAGTAATAATTATTTTCTCTTTCTCTCTCCCAACTCTATCTTCTTTCTTCAATAGGAGTGCGGCACGAGCCTCCTAGAAACTGGTGGTTTTTCTTCAATGGCGATTTCATGGTTTCTTGGTGCATTGGGTTAAGAGAAGACCTGATTTCTTCACGAGGAAACCATTTTTAGGATTTTTGCTCTCTTTTTTTATTAATGTATATACTAAAAAAAAAGGGGGGCCTGATTGGAATTTTTGTCCCGGCAAACCAGCTGCCTCGGCGCACACACCAACTCACCCAATTTTAAGGTACAGCGACGTCAAATCGGAGCCATAATTCGCAGGTCGTCTCGCCGTCGTCGTCAGGCTGCTCCTGCTCGCGAGTCGCGACCTTTCCCTTTCCTCGCCTCGACGCCTTGGGAGTTGGGGCCCCGGGGCCCGCCCGGGCTGTGGTGTGTAGACAAGCCGTCGGTGTGACGTACCGAGTGTAACCCCTCAAAAAAAAAATGTAATCCTAGCTTTAAACGGGGACACGTAATCAGTTGGGCGCACGCAGGTACACGTGCGGCACGCATACCTTACCTCTGTGTCTGTCGGCTTGTTGAACCAAGTCAATGTTTTCGTCGACGCTCACGCTTTATGGTTTGCGTGGCTTATAAGTTAACCGATACTGTTTTGTTATAAAGAAAAATGTTGTATCTTAACTGATAAACATGACTAGGTCCAGCCGCTGCTCTGACGAATCGCGTTTTCACACGGGCACCGACCAACACCAGCCCAGCCTCGGTCGTACTAGATGCTGAGTCAAAGCATATCATGCTAAATACGCACGCTGCAGCGTTACACTCTATTATTATACTATCGCTTAAATGGCTAAACCAAACATATCTAGATTTTCTGAGTGTGTGTGCGTGCGCAATTCAATCCAGACTCCAGAGTTGGACGTGGTAAAAGAAAAGCATATTGAATATGAATCCTCTGCTGTCTTTGGGCACTTCTAATGTAGATTTTACTATAGTTTCTATGTGTATTTATTATCCCTTTATTTATTGAATTTTACTGATATGGCACTGTATTCATTCAGGGAAGAGAGAGAAAAACGAGAAACGATGTCTAAGAGCCCGTTTGGAGGGGCCTTTTCCGGCTCCGGCCCGATACTGTAGTGGTACTGTAGCACGGAGCCGGAGAAGCTGGAAATCGTGGCTCCGCCGGCTGCTCCTCTTCTCAGTTCATTTTCTTCATCGAAATCCAAAACGGCTCCGTGCTATAGTATTGCTGCAGTGATTTCGCGAAGAAGCCGAAGCCCTCAGAGCTATGCCAAACACAGCCTAAGACTCCGAGTCTACGCACGACACGAGGAGGAAGAAATCAGCGATATTTGCGTTGGCAGGACCAGCGTCGTTTCCATCTTTCCACTGCAGATCCCGTGCGCCCGAGCCCCCGCGCAGGCTCGCCGGTTCGCGGCGCGCCGCCGCGTGCGCGCAGGGTCTCTCCGAGATGGCTCGCCGGTCCCCGCAGGCTGCCCCGCCGGTCTCGCCGTGTCCGCCTCTGCTCGCACTCCTCATCTCCCGTCGAATGGGTCTTCTCCATCGCCTCCGACTACTTCGCCTCACTAAGCCCGCGTAGGACGCCACAGGCCGCCGTGGAGCTCGCGCAGGACGCCGCAGCCGCCGCAAAGCTCGCGCCGCCTCACTGCGCCATCGTATTCAGACACATGATGAGCACGCGGCGATGATGAGCACGCAGCCTGTTCGGTTGGCTGGTTCGTTTCGTTGCTGGTTCGTAAAGAAGTACCGCTGGCTGGTTTGTGTGAGAGAAAAATACTATTCTAGCTGTAAATTTACGATCGTTTACGATAAGCCACAGTCAAACGAACAGGGACTGATGGACAAGTAGTACTTCGTCGTTGTCCTACTCGTCGTTGTCCTCGCTGCACTTCTTGGTGAGCACGGGCAAGTAGTACTTCGTGTCGCGGTGCATGAACTCCACCAGCAGCATGCCGCGCGGCTAGAACCTGGTGGCGCCGTCGCAGATGGGGAGCGGCTGCCACGGACCTCGCACACCCGGCTCGCCACGAACCTCGTCGCCGCCGCCGTGGGAGCCTGCACGACCGAGCCACACACATAGCCGCCCGCACAGGATCCGGAGGAACGGGGAAGGAGAGATAACGATTGGTCAGTTTTTTTTTTTTGACAGGACTCTAAAATTTACTGCGTTGGGAAGCCTAGTTTCTGTAGACGGAGTCTTGTGACACAGAAACTACCCACTGGGAGTGCCCTTAAAAAACTGACGGTCTATGTGTCGGCATTAATTACGAAATACTAGCTCGTTGCTTCGTCCATCGAATAGAGTACTCCAGTACGTATTTGTTTGGGATTGGGCATCCCGGTTTGGTGATAAACTGATAGTTGTCCGTGACCAATGCGATGGTTTCGTAGGACAAGCAATTAACGAAGGTGTCCGGGTGGGCACCTGCACCTGCGTGAGTTTGATGAGAGGCTGGGCTGGCTTGGCGATACAGTCTTCTTGTTCTACCTACCGACTACTAGCTTCGCGCGCTCCAGCTCCTCGCCTGCTGCCATGTTAGTACTACGTACCTAGCTAGGGTTTGCATTGTTTGCATCATGTGCAGCAACTAAGCGCGTGTTTAGTTTCAGTAAGTTGGAATTTGGGGTTACTGTGGCACTTTCGTTTTTATTTAGCAATTAGTGTTCAAACATTGACTAATTAGGCTCAAAACGTTCGTCTCGTAATTTCTCACCAAACTGTACAATTAGTTTTTTTTCGTCTACATTTAATGCTCCATACACAGGCCACAAACATTCGATGTGATGGCTACTGTAGCACTTTTTGAGATTTTAGGTTGGAACTAAACTGGCTGTGAGTGTGCTACCTCCTCTGTAAATAATAACGAACGACTGAGATCTGAATTGCTACACTAGCTAGGCTACCCATATAGGCAATCTGTCTCGGCGCTAGGCACACAAGGAATCGACAGCACAGTGACAGGTGCTGTAAAGCTTTGCCTAGGAACAAGCAAGGAATGAGCTGCTGCTACAGTGCTACTGCATGCCCTATTGCCTAGGGACGACGACAGGAGAGAGGAGGGCACTGGCAATCCGGCAACTGGCATGGACAGTACTCCTTCCTACTCGTGTGCATGTGCGAGCATGTCACGCTGTAGGCCAGGAGGGGTACGCTGTGGCCATGCAGCCGGCACTAAAAAGGTTGGCAGGCACCAAACAGATCGCGTCAACCTGTGGGATCCGAGCCCACAGCCTACTACTGTTTGCCTGCCCGACCGGATTGGACCCGACGTCCCGACCACAGTCTTTACCTTCCCTTTCCCACACTCGGCGGATCCACACGCTTTAGATTGAGGGTTTCATTTTTGTTCGTGTTTGTGGCCAGGTCCCTTCTTGTTGGTCCCGGCTTCAGTGTGTACCTTTGCAACCTGGTTACGGCCGGGACACTGGAAATGCAAAATCCCATTGTATTCGGTAGATGGTGAGCTACGCGTCCCTGCCATTTGATATTTTCACTTCAAAGGTGGTGGCATGTAAATGATTGTTGTCAAGTTGTTAGTGAACAACCCTAGCACCAGTAGAGGGCTATCATGCCGCTGACTAACGAGTGCGGAGTAAAATTTCCACATAGTAGGTTAGAAGCCAGCCTGAATTTGAACTTTGAA